GAGAGGGGAGTGACCAGATCCAGGGCTGCAGGGAGACACACCTGACATCAGAATGAACACTAGTAACCTCTCCCACAGACCACATGCAGGGCTACAGGGAAGAATAAGTATAGGAGATAAACTTATAAGATGTTATAATGTTTATTTCACTATAGAGAATTAGCAGTGAATTTTTTTTTTTTGGTACCAGGGATCGAACTCAGGACCTTGCGCTTGCAAGGCAGGTGGTGGAACCACTGAGCTAAACCCCTGGCCCAGCAATGAATTTTAATATACCTTTGGGGTGTTCAACATCTTGCTTGGGGCTGTAGTTCTGGTATAAAATTGCCAAAAGTCATCGAGCTAAATGTTTAAGGGAAAGGAACTGAGGTGGATGCGGTGGCACACACCTGTAATCCCCGCGCTCTGGGGCGCCAAGGCAGAAGGACTGCAAGTCCAGTCCCTGCCTGGGCAATTTAGCAATTTAGCAATCCCTGCCTCAAAACAAAAAAATAAAAGAGCCTGAAGATCTTCAAACTACAGTGCAAAGGCCCTGGGTTCTATCCTCAGTGCTACAAAGGGGAGGGGGAGAGCAGAGCTGGCTCAAACAGAGCCCCGGTGTAACAGTCAGTGCTCACTGGAGTAAGTGCAGAAGAGTGCAAGAGGCCTATCTGCAGGCTGGGCACCCAAAGGACCAGGCGAGGGCCTGGAGCCCACAGCAATGTCCCCTCCGAGTCCAGCCACAGCCTGGAGCCCAAGGCAATGTCCTGTGCAAGTCCGCACCTGGAGGCCAAGAGATCCTCGATGGAAGACAGAGGATCTGCACTGCAAAGTCCAAGAGCCAGTGCCAGAGCCTAGAGAACCTGCTCCAGCAGGCTGAAAGGCTGGTGCTGGAAGCCAAAGAATCCGCACTGAGAACCAGGAGGTGACACCCGGGGCAAAGGCCAAGACAGAGCTCCTGGCCGAAGTGTCTGTGCCGAGGCCAGCAGAGGAGCACAAGGCAAGGAGAGGACCAGCGCTTCTCCCAAGCCTCCTCAGTGAAGCCCGAGCTCAGCCGCAGAGAACAGAGCAGCTTCTCCGAGGAAAATCAGCCTGCAAGCCTCCCCTCGGCTGTCCTTTCATACCAGTGCCCAGGACGCCGCTAACTGGGCCCAGCTAGGCCTTCCCACTGGAGCTGATCATTAAGTAACCACCCACCTGGGAAGTTAACGTCTACATTTGGATTTCTGTTAATGAAGACCAACAATAGATTCATAAAAGATACATTCCAGAAACAGCCCCAAAGCCGCACAGTTTAAAGACATCTACGTACTGACTAAGAGCCTCACCACCAATTCCCCTGAGCCATCTTCCTTTCTACCCTTATGTCATCAGCTTTCTCGAAGATAAGTCTCCAGAGTCTCCCTTCACCAGCGGCAGTTCCTACAACAGCACAGGCTTGGCAAGATGAGGCGTTCACCAACTGAGACACAGCCAGCAACAGGGCCGCAAGATTTGGCTCCTCTCTGTGGGCCGAATGCATCAGGCCCCAGGGCCCCTCCACCCACAGCTGGACAGAGCTCCTTCCCCATTAACCTCCGCCTGCTGCTCACCCCAGACCTCCTCGGATGAGGCCCCACGGAGGAGCACAGAGCGCAGCCAGAGGGTTTGCTGGGCAGCAGGGAGCGGGACACCACCAGAGACAGCACGGGAGCAGACGATCTCCCAGAGTCTCCAGGACTAGGGCAATCTTGTGCCCATCTGGACATGGTTCACAAGCTGCACCACTTGTTTCTAGCAGCAAGACAATTATTCAATACACAACAGTAGGGAAAATATGCTATTTGAAAAAACTGGGGCCACCGGGGATTTAGCTCAGTGGTTCTGCCACCTGCCTCAAAAGCACAAGGTCCCAAGTTTGATCCCTGGTACCAAAAAAAAGAAAAAAATGGGGCCCATTTAACATCAAAAATGAAAAAATTCTAGCTGCCTTTACTATTAGAAATGAAACAAGAAAATAGCTAAGAGAAAATGCAGGGCCAGGGATTTAGTTCAGTGGTGCAGCCACCTGCCTCTCAAGCAAAAGGTCCTGAGTTCGATCCCCAGTACCAAAAAAACCAGAAAATGCATATGGAGATTTAGGTTTTCCTGAGATTTTCAAAAGACCTTAATGGAGAACTTCTTTACCACGACCGTGATTCAGTCCCCACCTCCAAAACCAACCAAACAAAAACTGCACCAAAAGAAACAGGCATGGATATGCATGATGTAATCATTAGAAATAAGGGACGTTCAACAATAGTTGAAGATGTAATGCCATGGAGGTTAGCCACCAAAAATTAAGAAGGAAGATCCGAAACTGTTCAGTTTTATAAAAAGCATGTGTGTATGGGGTACATGCAAATACGTGCATAAAGAAGTTTGGGGGCCCCAGCATGGTGGCACACACCTGTAATCCCAGCACCCAGGAGGCTGAAGCAGGAGGATCACCACCAGCTCAAGGCCAGACTGGGTTACACAGTGAGTTCAAGGCCAGCCTGGACTACATAGCAAGACCCTGTTTCAAAAAAAAGAAAGAAAAAGAAAAGAAAAGAAATTTGAGGGGAAGATGAAGGAACAACTAAAATACCAACAGGTATACCTGCCTGAATGAAATGAAACTGTCCTTGTTCCTCTCCTCTGTTCCTACGGTTGAAAACTTCTTGCAGAAACAGAAAAGAAAATACTGGGGTTTTTTTTTAAATCCACAAACATCAGTAGCCAAACATAGTGTACAGCCCAAATTCAAACTCTCGTGAACACCCCCAAAATCACAATAGTATATTTTGTATAAAAGTCAGTAAGCCAGTTATAGGGATCACTTGGGTAAGCAGTTATCCGTTTGCAAGTTTATAGCAGATGAAATTTGAGAAGAAAAGCAACCATCCAATAAGAAGGAGAAAAATCAGCTTTTCTCTACAAGGTGGGCCTTGTATCCAGGGGCCACTTCCTGGCTGGGCTCACTTTAGCCATCCCATTTTCAGGAAGATAGGTACACAAGCTTTAAAATTCTGTGAACTAAATTAGGTAAGGTGGCGCAGGCCTATAATTGCAGCTACTCCCCAGGCCGAGGCAAGAGGGCCACAAGTTCAAGGCCAGCCTGGGCAACTTATCCACAGTGAGACCCTGTCTCAAAACAAAACTCTAAAAAATGTCTGAGGATGCAGCTCAGGGTGAGTCCACTGGGTTCAATCCCTATTAAGACAAATAGGTAAATAAATACAGGATGGTCAGCACTGACAGCTGACTTCACAAAGCCACATCCCTCTTTTTAAAATGTAGCACTGGAATAGCAATGCCAAGAGGAAAAGTGGCTTAAAGCTGTGAGACAGCCCCAAGCTCACATCAGCATCATCTGGAGCACTTGTTGAGACACTCGAGGTCATGTGTGGCCCCAGGGCTTCCGATTTTACAGAGCACCCAACCAGGTGCATCTCTGTGAAGTTCCTGGGCAAGGCTGACTGACGTAGCCCTCCAGAGAGAACAGCTTCCGGAAAACAGGGCAAGAGATGTTTCCCCAGCACCCAGCATTTTCAGACTGTCCCTCGAGAAAGGCCAGCCTTTCCCCACTTTTCAGAACAAGCTCCTCAGCAGAAAGCAACTCAACAGAGCAGCTTAGAACACCGCTGCCCCGGCTCTGAACACAGCTTCCTGAGGGCAGATTCTGTTCTGACACTTACTGTAGATATCACCATAGGCAACTCAAAGCACCATAGCTCAGTTTGAGTGTCTTCAGGTGTAAAACAGCGGTAACAGTTCCTTCCTCTCCAGCTATGAAATAGAAATGGGCCCCACCCAAGGCAACAGAGAAAAGTCAGCACACTTTCCCATTTCCCTGAATTTACCTTTTTGGATTTTATTTTGTTTTGTTTGAGACAGGGTCTTGCTTTATATTTCAAGCTGGTCTCAAACTCCTGTGATCTTGCCTCAGCCTCCCCAATACTGAAACTACAAGCACCTGCCACTTGCACCTACACTTTCCCTGCACCTACACTTTGAAAGTCCACAAACAGAAGGTGCATCAACAGTTCTGTGCCCTACCTAAAGCTACGGAGATAGTTTGCTTACTCTTCAGTTATTTTTCACGTTAACCACCCCTCACTCTCTAAGAGGAGGACCAAGAACGGGTCCTGCAAACACCAAAATTGAAACAGGCCGGCCTTGAAGTCACTATGTAGCCTGGGCTGGCTGCGAACTCACAGCGATGCTTTCTCCTCTGCCTCTCCAGCGCTGGGTCTACAGGCGTGCGCCACCACACCTGGTCATAAGGGGTCACTTGTGTAAGACTTTTTCACCTGCTTCCTCTGACATGCTTAGAGACCTGGGTAAGACAGCCCCTTCCCCAGTAATCACCCAAGGTGGAAATGCAAACTCCACCCAAGGGGGAAAGGGCTGGCAAGAGACGCGCTAATACGTGGGTGAGTCCCTGTCAAAAGCAAAACATGGAAGCAGATCTCGCTCAAGAATAGTGTCCTCACTCATACATTAGAAATAATAGGGCCGGGAATTTAGCTCAGCGGCTCCGCCGCCTGCCTCGAAAGCGCAAAGTCCCGAGTTCGATCCCCAGTCCCCCCCTAAAAAAAAATAATAATAATAATAAAGGGATATTTCACACACACACACACACATAAACGCCCTGCGGAAGCCAGTAGGGGTGGAAGGAGATGCCAGGTAAAGAACATCAAGAGGGGTGGGGACACTATCAGGAGACCGCACTGGTTAATTACGCTTTGGTTGCGATTAGACGAAGGCAGCTGTTCATAGCTGCTTTCTTAAAATGAAACAAAAACCCCGGAGCGATGGGTGACCGTGTGGGATGCAGGCGGTTCTCTCACCGGGCAGAGCCGCCTCCGGACAGCCTCGTCCTCCTCCCGGCCTGGGCGCCCACCGCCCGGGTCCCCGCGCCCCCTTCCCGGGGCGCACGCGGGGTCGGAGGAAGCCGGGGCGCACAGGAACGCGCCCTCGCCCGCCCCGCAAAGGCACGGGGACCGGGCGGGACTCACCAGAAGAACACCCGCGAGCAGAGGTTGGCGTCCAGCAGCGGGTTGGGCTTCGGTTCCAGGCGCATCGGGAGCATCTCGCCGAGCGGGCCGGGGCGCGCAGGCCGGGAGGGAGGGAGGCGCGCCGGGATGCTGGAGCTCGGGCTGCCGCGCCAGTCCGTTCGGCGGGAGCGGGAGGAGAGCGGTTTCCGGGCGCCGCGACACGCCCCGTCCCCGCCTCCCAGGCCGCCTCGGGGCCCCCGCTGCGCCGGCCGCACCCACTGCCACAGGGAGCCGGGGAGGAGCGCGTCTGGGCGCGGGAGCGCGCGGGCGGGCGGACGGGAGCACGGGCCACGCGGCGCGCAGGGCCCGGCTCCCAGGAGCTCACGTGCGGCGAGCCGGCCGAGAACTTTGCCGAAGTTCGAGATCAGCGCCTGGCCACCGACTCAAAAAGGTGGCGGGGGTGGTGCGAACTCGGCCCGCCCCAGCTGCTCGGCACCGCCCCTGGACGCGGGCTTCTGGAGACTTCGGAGGAGCTCCCGATGGCCTTGGCAGAGAGAACGCTGGGCGCGTGGGGCCATACGGGGTGCTGGAGGAGTTCGCCAGCCTGCGGGCCACGCGTTTAATCGCGGACACAGATTCTCTCTGTAGAGCTGCCAGACCTGAAGACAGGAGGGGAACAGGAGATTGGCATTGAGATGGTTTGGGGAGACACGGGGTTTGGGCTTTTGGCATCTCGCAGGTTGCACTGTGCGGTGGGACTGTGTGAATGTTTTGCTGCCTTCTTAGATTGGGGAAGGGAGGGAGGAGGAGGAGGAGAGACTGCCTGCCAGATCCTAGCAGAATTAACAGGCGAATGGAGCAGATGTTGCAGGGCCCGGTTAGACACGTTTCCTGTTACCTTGCTTGGCTTTTTAAGCTTGTCCTTATTGTACAAAAGCAGAAACTCAGACCCAGAGACAGCTTGTCCAGGGCCTGAGGGTCAGTAATGGTGAAACCTGATTTGTACCAAAGTTGCGCTGTGATTAAGGTCTGTCGCACAGGAGGATGCATGGTCATCGTCCATGAAAAGTGCCTGAGGTGCACTGGTTGAATGAATGAATGATTTTAAGAATGAATGAACAAAATCTTGGTGCTAGGTTTTGAACCCCCACTCGTAAATCCTCTTGTGTGTGTGGGCTGCTTTACCAGCTCAGCCCTAAATGAAGAAAGGTCGGAGGTTACAAATTCATAATGCTCATAGTAAGATCATTTTGTATTACTTTGATCATTTCCTTTGTACATTTGCTAAACTGGCTTGATTAATAGTGACTTTTAAAAAAAAAGCCTTAGTGTAGCTGGACGTGGTGGTGCACACCTATAATCCCAGCACTCAACCCACTGAGGCAGGAGAATCACCACGGGTTGTAGGCCAGCCTGGGCTACATAGTGAGTTCAAGGCCAGCCTAAACTACATAACAAAATTCTGTCTCAAAAAACAAAAACAGAATTATAAGAAACAAAAACCAAGGGCAAGAGAACTGCAAAGTGTTGATAATTTTTAAGCCAAACAATGCAGAGTTTATTACACTATTTTCTTGATATTTTACATATGTTTGCATCTTCCATTACAAAAAGGAAGACGTTTTAATTTGAATATTGTAAGAAAACTATGATCACTATGGCCCAGCATGGGCCTGTAATCCCAGCACTCTGGGAGGCTGAGTCATGAGAGTCAAAAGTTCTAGTCCAGTCTGGGCTTAGTAACTTAGTGAGACCTTGTCTCAAAAGAAGGGCTGGGGATGTTGCCCAGTTTGAAAGCCCTGAGTTTCATCTCCGGTATCACACAAACCTAAAGAAAGAATCATTGAGTTACCTCCTTTTCTTTGTTAGCAGTTTCTCAGATAATGTAATCTGTATACGGGAATAGGCAGCCCTTGATTGATTTACAGTGCTCTTTGAAACTCCCTAAATTTTGTAGCCCAGTAAATGCTCAGCTACTGATTCTGCTTCAAAGCTGAAGAATTTGTTTGCTAAAGTTAGAAGTCAAGTGACTCTAGGGAACCCTGTGTGCTGTCTATGCCCGCAATTATGTCAGCGCCATAATTAGCAGTCTGCAAACTGCCAAAAACACTTAGTCCCTTCAGCTTCCATAGAGGTTTGCTTTTTTGTTTTTCCCCCCCAAACTAAGCTCTTTTGAGACTACTTAACATTCTTTTCTGAGCATTAACTAATGTGGGTGTGAGAAAAGATACTAAGAACCAGTATCTGACTGTAGAGATAGACTCAGCACACCAGAACTCCAGACTTTTCCTTGTTACCTAACCTTTCTCTTATTTTTGCAGATCTATAATGGGAATCAGAATCTCCACTCTTCCTACATCATAGGATTGTTGTGAGCCTCACAACTTGTGAATGCATTCTGAAAGCAGTGTACAAATGGAACCTCTCTCCCCTCGTTTATTTAACACATAAGGGGACTAGGGGAATAGCTCAGTGGTAGAGTACTTGCTTAGAATGTCCAAGGCCCTGAGTTCAATCCCCAGGACTACAAAAAATTCATATAAAATATATGTTTAGTGAATGCCTTTTGGGTACTTATAACTAGGCCAAGAACTAGCTTCCAAAGGTAGAGGCGATGTCTTAAGAAAGACCACTATCTGCCCTGTTTATTGACCTTAAATAATTCCGTATTATAACCAAAAAGACAGTGTCTTAGTTACTTTCTCATTGCTGGAACAAAAATACCAACACCCACAAGTTAAAGGAGGAGAGGTTTATTTTGGCTCACAGTTTGTAGAGATTCCAGTCCATAGTCTGCTGGTTCCAAAGCAGGGTGGCATGGCAGAGGGGCATCACAGAGGAGAAACAGTCCATGGCACAGCAGGCAGGAAGCAAATGCTCAAGACAGGAAGGATAAATATATATTCAGGCCACATCCAGTCATACACCTCCCCCTACCAGGGTTTACCTCTCAACATCACACCGAGCTACAGACCCATCAGTGGACTAATCCAGTATCACCCACTCATGATCCATCACCTTCCAAAAGCCCCACCTATGAGCACATGAGGCTTGGGGGGACATCTATATGTAAGAATAACAGACAGAAAATAACAAATGTCAGAGAGAAATTGGAGTACCCATGGGTCATTCTTAGTAATGGACAAATGCTGCTATTGTGGGGGGAAAGTTCTAGCAATTCTGTTTGGGTTTTTTTGTTTTTTAAGATGGAATCTCGCTATATAGTTGAGCCTGGCCTTGAAGTCACAATGTAGCCAAGGCTGACCTCAAACTTGTGGCAGTCCTCCTGCCTCAGCCTCCCTCGTGCATGTCTGGCAGTTCTTTAAAAAGTTCAAAGACAATGTCCTAAGTTCAATTCCCAATACCAAAAAAAAAGTTCAAAGAGTTATCACATGACTCAACAATTTCACTCTTAGAGATATATCTACGAGAAATGAAAATACACGGTTCACATAAGAACTTCCACAATGTCATAGCATTATTCATAAAACCAAAAAAAAGAAAAAAAACAAACGTCCATCGACTAATGGAGGAATAATAAAATGTGGTATGTCCATACAATGGAATATTATTGATATTTCATAAAAAGAAAAAGAGGAATAGAACAAGTATATTATTCATACTTCCCTCTTCTAGACTCCCAGGAGGAAGAGGGAGGGTTAGTAATGATAGAGGAAAAGTCAAGAGTGTTCCCCTAGCAAAGTACCCCACTCAGAAACCTGGAAAGTAAAGAATAAGTGTTCCATCAACAAATTGTTAGGCCTTCACGATATAGTGAAGATTTGGAGAAAATGTAAGGGAGAGTCTACTCATGCTGATTATTCATTCCCAAGCAAAACTTGAAGGGCCTTGATGCAAATTTGTGCCTTTGCAAATAATGAATGACTAGTGTCAAAAAACAACTCACAATTTAGTTTAAAGATCTCAATCGGCTTCATTTTTCCCCTAAAATGGAATATGTTCCCATGGTCTGAATAGAACAGGCTGAAAAACACAGGAAAAAAAAAATGGGTTGGTCATTTCAGTTACTGTCCTTGTAAGGTGAAGATAGGGAGTCAGAACAGTGGAAAATACTCTCTGGTTAACATCAGTTTACTTCAGTTTACCTTTTTTTGTATAAGGATTAAGAAAGAGGAAACTTGATTATAATGCTAACTAACTAAATCTGGGCTGTATGAGAAATTTGTCTATTGACCCTCTAATCCTGCTAACAACTTAGTTTCAGTTCTGTGACACAGAACTTAGTGTGAGTGACTTCATTTATATTTTTAGTCTGGTCTGTTGCAGTCTAGTGCAGGAGCTTAGTCCAAAGCAAAGGCCTCTTACCGTGTTCATGTAACACTGGATGGTCTTTAAGGTGACTCTAAAATAGTCCAAGCATCAAGTGTCAAATTTATCTTTGGTGTAACAACTAACAAATAGCACTGAAATGGTTCATCTAAGACAGTGCATGTTCTCAAGGCTCTGCCTGTAAGACGTGACAAATGACATTCAGAATTTAAACATACTCGTGTGGGTATCCACAATTCCCGATATAGTGACAATTTTTCAGCCATTCCGTCTTTTGGTAATAGATTCCACCCCCATAACCTCCAGGTTGGCATGTGATTCGAATCTAGCTGATCATAACATGTCATACTGTAACCTCAGGCCAGGGATTTAGCTCAGTGGTTCCACCGCCTGCCTCACAAGTGAAAGGTCCAGAGTTCAATCCCCCATACCAAAAAAAACACACATAACCTCATTCATAACCCATACTGGGCCAACTGGCTTTCTTCCTTGAGGGTTGTTTGCTAGAACTAAAAAAGGGGAATGCCTCAGTTTCCTTCTGATCAGGGAGGATCATGATTCTAGGATATGACCCACAAGAGCTAATAACCATGTTTTTCTTTTACATAGAAAAGCCTTAAAGTTTAAAGCAGTTACCCAAAGGAAAGCCACATGCTCAGGAACCATTTACTGTATTACACGCTTACTGTGTGCTAAGAACTGTTCCTGGAGCTAGAAATACACATTAATAAGATGAATAGTACAAAGGACAGTTATGGTGCCATTAAGTTTCTGGGGTCCTAAACGCTACTCAGATCCCTACTTGGACTATGTGTCCTGTCATTGTCTAACCCATAACCTCTGGGCTTCTCTCCATGACTAAAGCAGTGTGTTGCTTATCAGCAGCTCTCTGCTTAAGGGCCTTTT